GTGTCCTTGACATGATTATTGCATAATCTGCAGCTATATGACGTCACAGACGCTGATTTCGAAAATTCACTGTACGGTTTCGGCCAATCAGAAAAGAGATAGTGAGTTCAGTGTATAATACAGTCTACACGAGTTTAGTGATGTTATGTTTGATCTTTTGACAGCATTCATTTTGATGACAACGTTCTTATTTTCTTGCAGGATTTTGCTACTCCGTCTCTAACAGAGGAAAACACCGTATTTTTGACGGACGATAACGCGGAACTTGAGCGAAGAGAGATCGAACAATTTCAGCTCAGAAGAAGCTGGGAGAGCAGGTGACAGTCCTTTATTTTGTTTTGTTTGTCGATTTAGTTAACTTTGTTTGACATCAAATTCGACCAGCAGAGTATTATTTATTTCTCTATACTTTTTAACTGTTTTTTGGTAAATTCTACTGATTAAAGTTAATTTTTGTAAAAATTGATATTAGTGTCCATAAAGATAAACTTTTCTTCGAGAGAGTGTTTTTTTGTGTCCTATTTTAAAATTAGATTTCGTAGGCTAAACGATATCCTAGTATTTATTGTAAGTGTTTCGAAGTAGCACATAGTTGCAGTTAGTATTTTGAAAAAAATCATTGCATTTTAATTTTAGTTAGTATTTTTATCTTAGTTGTAATTGTAATTCTAGTCTAAGTTAGGACCTTTCCTTAAGCAACTGTTTTGAGAAAGCCTACTAATAAAAGATGATGACGACGATGATTATGATCGTATCTATAACAAAATTCTCGATCGTGATTGGTTCTCCGCGTGCCTATTTATAATGGTAATAGGACTGAGTGGAGTACAATTCGGTGTGTAATCATACGAGTGCTTAACACGAGTATGATTACAGACTGAATTGGACGACGCGAAGCCCTGCTACCAATTGATCAAAACTATGACAAAGTTCGAGAAACGAGCAAACCATCGATTGAGCGCTGAAGATTAAACGTCGTTATGAATGCTGAAAAGCACAGCAGTTTACTCAACAAAGTGCACCGCAACAGCGCGCGCAAAATGACGCGTGCTGTCCAATTACAAGCATGACGCGTACACTGTCCAATTAATGCTCAAATCGGGCTGCTGATAGCCAATCACGTTCGAGAATTTTGTTATAGTTTTGATTAACCATGTAATCGGTGCGCGATCATTCATCGGTTGCGAATACTTGTTTATTACATAAAGGGCAAAATTCCGTACAAAGGAAAACTTTCAAGGTCTTGCCGTCGCATAAACAGGTTTGCCGGTTATTATTAAAGAACAGGCTAGCAGTAGAACGGGGAAAGCCTGCTATAATAGTAAGCAAAACACAGCAAGTTCAATTCAGTGAAAGCAATATCTTTACAAATAAAGCTTTCAGCAATGTAATTTTATTCACCTGTTTGCGAAGCTTGCAACGGCGTGAAACTACTTCAGCGATCGATGAAAGACGCAAACAGTTGTCGAAACGAGCTCTAATAACTTCTTGAATACAGAAATCTTCTTTCCACGACGAAAACTTAACGTACCAACTAAGTTTACGTTCTTTTGTACGCCGATAAGGTGACCTGTGATTCTAATAAGGGCACCCGAAGCAAAACGAAGAAATTTACTTTCCGTTTGGTAGCTGTGGAAGTCGACAAAATACATGGTACGTGCAATCAGACGTCCTAAGAGACTATAACATTGAAATAACGAAGCGCGCGAAGTCGAAAAATAGAATGTAAATTATTGGAAGCCCGCGAGAGTCAGGCAACACAAGCGTCTTCTGAGAGAAATAGGAGGAAAATTAACGCCAAATATTTTTGTTTTAAAAATTGTTTTAGGAACACTCGCTTACGCGGGGAAGATTTTCGTATAACCCCATACATTTATTATACCTGCAGAATGATTAATTAGGTATGCTCTTTATTGTTTTTGAAGACAATAGCAACTCCCTAAGGTATTGAATATATACATTGATAATTACTACTTACTGTATGAATAAAAGAGCGCTGTTGCGCTCTGTCTTTTCGCCGATTCTCTTCTTCCCCTAGCTCCATTGTTCTCTCTTTTTCTTCTCCATATTACCCAGGCTCGTTACGCATTTTTTTCCTTTTTTTCTTGTACCCCATCAGGTCTCGATTCACTTACCTTTCGCATACCTGTCGTTAACCAGTCTCTCTTCTACACCACTACACTACGAGGTTCAGTTGAGAATTACTCCTTGGAAAATCATTTTTATTTTACTTGACTCGTACTTGACTCACTTATTCATCTGTTTAAGCATGTTTCACTCTGCACGAAAACATGCATTAGATTTTTTGATCAACTGGATCCCTGGTGTGTTTCCGGTTTCTTCTTCCTAGCGTTCATTTAAAAACTGACCCGGTGCTACAGGACTAGGCTCACGGTATCGTTTACTTCAAAGCCCTTTTCACCCTGTAAAAACGTCTTCGTAATCTTCTCCATTGTTGTATGCTCTACCTCTTAAGTCTACGACGTCTTAAAGACTGTTTGTCGTCGTCCGTGCTAGTCAGTGGAGTGGAGATGCCTTCTCGTTACTTTATACCAGCTGTTCACGAAAGGAATACAGTCGATAGATACTGATACAGCGAACATCGAACCTGC